ATCGAAAAAAAATTCCAATCTTTTGTAGTTTTTTTAAGTTGTGGCATGGAAATTTTTCTTTAACTGGATGAGATGCCATATGATGAAAATTTTGTATACAAAGCAGTGGAAATTTTAATAAAACCTAGCTTCAAATTGACGAGATTTATTTTTTGTCGAAAATCAAATTAAGAGAATGTTTGTTTCAATTTAATTATGTGAACTGTGGAAGTTCAGCTAGCTGATCTAGTATATTGTTCACAGGTGTTGATTTTTGTTTAAAATATTATGTGCTTTCAATTTTCGTCAAGGATACAGATAAATGGCAGAAAATAAGGCAATTTCCTCATAATGGGAAGATAAATTGGATTTTTAATTGGATGGAATTATGTTGAAGCGCCTCGTAATAATTAGTCGTCTAGACCTCTAAATTCTCAGGGCGGCCCTGACTGAAAATATAAAATTGCTAAGCTATTGTGTGTAATGGTGCCATAGAAATGTCTTTGTCCCATTATCTTTACGGAGTTCCTATCAACTTACTCATTGTGACAAAAATAAATTTCATCTCTGGCCCAAAAATTACACGTGTAATAAGCCTTATACATAAACAGACTTTGTTTGCAATATACTTAAGAACAAGTGTTACAGCTCGTAACATAAAGATCACATGTCGATCTTATATGTCCTTACATGTCAGCATTCTTCCACAAAGAAGAATGGACTACAAAAGATGGGCAATATTAACATATTAAATTTATATTCTAGTGCCCTCCACACCTCTAATGTCCCATGGTAGAGAGCTCAGAAGAAGCTGGCATCTATTGTTTCAAAAGAGCAACAATTTTTCTTCCATCAATTTATTTTTCTCAAGGGGGATTTACGAATTCAAACTATTCTTTAGAAACTAACAAATACTAAGAAAGAATACAGTACAAATCAAGAAATTAGCCCATGTCATAGCAGACAATAATTTGCCCTGCTGACCGCTATCCTTTTTCTAAATTCACCAACATTTTTATTGTTTGGAAAACAAAGGTGAAAGAATAATAAAAAAATCTCTCTTCCAATTCAACTATATCACATAACATCAAGAAACATAAATAAAACGCCGATTTTTGTGTGCATACATTCGTTTCAATTATTTACAAAGCCCACAAAACAAATTGACAATGAAACATCAAAAAAGGGTGCTCCGTTTGCAAGAAAATACAGGAAGGCAAATTTTCATGCGTAAAGAAGAGTCCGCCAGTATCGTACCTCGAAAGAAAGATTTTTGCTGCCCCTAGTGCGTAGTTTTCCAATTAGGGTTTAGGGTTTCCAGGGAAGCGGGTTTTAATTGAAGTGAGTATAGATTGAAAACTTGTTGGGAGGTCCCCAACTCGTTGCTATTGTGAAAGGTATATCCTCAACTTCATTTTTGCACGTTTAAGTTCTTAACCTTTGTATTGTATCTTTACAAATGGGAAAGTTCTGCAAATACTCCCTAATCTTCACATCTTGATGTAAGTATTCCTAAAATTCCACTTATGTGCAATTGGTCCTTTTTGTATTGTTCCAATCTATCGTTAAAAATGTCAAAATTTTGATAAAAAGGTTAAAATGTTATTCATGTAATTAGATAAATAAATTAGATAATTTTTGTAAGACGAAAAGAAAAGTCAACTATATCTACCAACCAATCTTCCATAACATCTATCGTGCAACTTAATAAATAGTGTCCTTTAAGCAAACTATAAAGATAATTATCTAATTTATTTATCTAATTACATGAATAACATTTTAACCTTTTTATCAAAATTTTGACATTTTTAACGATAGATTGGAACAATACAAAAAGGACCAATTGCACATAAGTGGAATTTTAGGAATACTTACATCAAGATGTGAAGATTAGGGAGTATTTGCAGAACTTTCCCATTTGTAAAGATACAATACAAAGGTTAAGAACTTAAACGTGCAAAAATGAAGTTGAGGATATACCTTTCACAATAGCAACGAGTTGGGGACCTCCCAACAAGTTTTCAATCTATACTCACTTCAATTAAAACCCGCTTCCCTGGAAACCCTAAACCCTAATTGGAAAACTACGCACTAGGGGCAGCAAAAATCTTTCTTTCGAGGTACGATACTGGCGGACTCTTCTTTACGCATGAAAATTTGCCTTCCTGTATTTTCTTGCAAACGGAGCACCCTTTTTTGATGTTTCATTGTCAATTTGTTTTGTGGGCTTTGTAAATAATTGAAACGAATGTATGCACACAAAAATCGGCGTTTTATTTATGTTTCTTGATGTTATGTGATATAGTTGAATTGGAAGAGAGATTTTTTTATTATTCTTTCACCTTTGTTTTCCAAACAATAAAAATGTTGGTGAATTTAGAAAAAGGATAGCGGTCAGCAGGGCAAATTATTGTCTGCTATGACATGGGCTAATTTCTTGATTTGTACTGTATTCTTTCTTAGTATTTGTTAGTTTCTGAAGAATAGTTTGAATTCGTAAATCCCCCTTGAGAAAAATAAATTGATGGAAGAAAAATTGTTGCTCTTTTGAAACAATAGATGCCAGCTTCTTCTGAGCTCTCTACCATGGGACATTAGAGGTGTGGAGGGCACTAGAATATAAATTTAATATGTTAATATTGCCCATCTTTTGTAGTCCATTCTTCTTTGTGGAAGAATGCTGACATGTAAGGACATATAAGATCGACATGTGATCTTTATGTTACGAGCTGTAACACTTGTTCTTAAGTATATTGCAAACAAAGTCTGTTTATGTATAAGGCTTATTACACGTGTAATTTTTGGGCCAGAGATGAAATTTATTTTTGTCACAATGAGTAATCAGAGAATGTGCACCTCGGATCTTCTGTTCTGTTTAAGAGTGTACCTTGTCATGAAAAGTATTTTGTTTTCTTTCGTGCTTTGGATGACTTCCTCCAATTGATATTTTAAAGCTGGATTAATATGAAATATTAGGATTTGAGACTTTGGGTAGTCTGAGAATTACTTCCATGAGGTCAGAACATAAAATTTTCACAAATTTGTGTATAGACTGAGTCCCGTGCATCAAAATCTGGTTTGAACCTTGTTCGTGAATTTAGTATTCTACATCATCTCCAAAAAATTAGGTGACTGGCTACCTCTTCAAAGGATGCCAACATTTATTATTTTATAACAGATAACCTGATATAATTGTTGAAGAATGATGACCCTGCTGCTCCTGCATGCAACCCTGAGCTGTGGGAATTGGGTTGTCTTAGCATCTGCTTAACTGCTTTCATTTGAGTGTTTCCGTGGTGCAGAGCTTTCACTTTTAGCTTCCATGGCAGAAAAAAATATTGTTGCTTGTTTGATGATAGGTGTTATGTGATATTTTCCTTCTTTTTACTAACTGATCTCTTTCTCCAAACAGAAGAAAACTGATGTTGAGCGAGGAGATGGTGAATGATGTGGGGATGGAGGAATCTGATCCTGTGGTCTCTGAGTCTGGATCAGAATCAGAAGAAGCTGAAGACGTGAAGTTAATTGAACCTTCAAAGAATGCTGTAAACAATCGTGAAGGTTTGCTCGATAAGCTTGGAGATATCAACTGGCCTGCCAACGTCGAATGGATACACAAGCTTTCTATTGATATTGATCTGGCACAAGAAGTGGATGTCAATGATGACTTGACACGGGAGCTTGCTTTTTATACACAGGCACTAGAGGGTGCGAGGCAGGCCTTGGTAACATTTCAGTCGATGGGACTTCCTTTTCTGAGGCCTTCTGACTATTATGCTGAAATGGTTAAATCTGATTCTCACATGGAGAAAGTTAAGGGCAGACTCTTAGCAGAAAAGAAAAAGGTTGAAGAGGCCGAGGAGAGAAAGAAGGCAAGGGAGAACAAGAAGTTAGCTAAAGAGATACAATCTCAGAAACTAAAAGAGAGGGCCAAGCAGAAGAAAGACGATATTGAATCTGTTAAGAAGTGGAGGAAGCAGCGGCAACAAAGTGGGTTTGCCGGTGGTGATAAAGGTGGTGACCTTGATTTGGCTTTCGAAGATGGAAAACCATTTGATCGAATGAATAAGAAGAGGCCGTGGGTGGCTCCTGGAGATCGTTCTGGTGGGAAGGCAAAACAGGGTGGTGGAAAGGGGAAAAAGGGTTCAGATAAAAAGATGAAGAACAGGGAACATAGGGATTCAAGGTTCGGATTTGGAGGGAGGAAAGGGTTAAAGAAGCAGAACACAGCTGAGACCACGAATGATCTGACCAGAAGCTTTAATAAAAGCAAATTTTCTGGTAATAAGAGGATGAAAAAGTGAGACTTTATGGTTTTAATTCAACTCCCTGAAGCACAAGTCTATTTTAGATTTTTAGTGAATGAGTAACTGGAGAAAGCAGAGTTCGTGGTGTTCACTTTGAAGGGCTTATTGATTTATACAGGCTTTTGAACTATTGATATTTATAGTGAGCGTACACGTTTTTGACCCAGAAACATGGCGCATGCAATTGCTTATTCAGTTTCGACTTATTATTGTAATTGACTTGTTTCTCAGACAACCATTTCTTAATACTTTGATTTCCCTGCATTAACGTTGCAATTGATATTGTTTTTTCTTGTGACCATTTGCCAATTTTCAATTTCATTATCATGCTGCTGATTATGACCCTGGTGATTTTTATTTTTCCCCGTGAACAAGTCCGATCTGTTATGACATAACCATACGTGTTTTTGTAGCCTTGGATTAAATTCATGCCTATCCTATGGAGGCAATGTAGGTTCTTATGTTTCAGCCTCTTTAATCCATTACTGAATGTGGAAGTGGAAATTAATGTTTAAAGATTTTTTTTTTAACAATATCTACGAGCACTGCTTTCCGACCATACCTCTACTCAAATTGTGCTAAAAAAGCTTCCTGTTACAAAATATTCCTCTCTAAAGGACGTGGGGGTTGAAAAAACTAGCTAACCCTCCTTTTATCTATAGCTTACAAAATGATTTTAATACGAAGTACCCAATTAAAACAACAACGTGATTCTTACGAAGGAATACTCTGTTTGTTCTCAAATTCTTGTTTTATAATTTCAAACACCAGCTCGTTCCATGTATCAACTGGACCTGGCATGCACCAATGCAGGCAATCCTGTGGCGGAGGCCTACCATCTGGGCCTCTTTTGGTGATCTTATTTGGATCCGTGCTTCGATATGGACCCGGATGCCCATCAAGGCGATAAGAAAAGGCTTTTGTAATATCCATTAGTTTCAGTTTCGATTTGTTCGCCTTTTTCTTCATTGCACGGTTAAACCCCGTCACCTGCTTTTCATGCATTATATTGGTAAAGCCATTTTCAACTAATTCACTATCCAAGGCTGGCCTCACCTTTCCAGTGCATGATCCTCCGGTATTCCAGGCTCCACCCTCATAATGATCTGGTGAAAAGCTACGGACAATTGTTAGACCAGTGTAATTTGGATGTGTGACCATGGAAGTAAGAATTGTTTCGACAGATATTCCAAATGCTTCAACATTGTCAATCTTCTTTTGCCTAGTTTTGTCGGGCCACCACAATTGTCCTCCCAGAATTTCATTGTTCAATATATAAACTGACTGCTTGGCAAACCAGTGGCCAGAGGAAAAGACGATCACATCGAAATCTGTAACAAGTTCCATGAAGCCCTCATCAGGTTTGTCAAGGTGGAGCTTGACCACACCAGATGGAGCAAAGTCAAATGGTTCTGGTGTTTGATGGACAAGCCAAGAAGACCATATGCGAACAATCGTAGTCGATGTAGACGTAAAATAATAGCGTTGCATTCTTTTATTCCCTCTGTTTTTTGGAACCTCAACCTGAAAAAGTTCCAGAATTCTGATACGTTAGTGTTTGTGTTTTAAGTGTAAGGGTGAGGGGGAGGATCGATACATAACCACAAAGATGAAGAATGAAAATGCCAAAAAAAAAAAAAACTTGTAAATCATTCATCATTCATGTAAATGTGCCACATTTAGTCGGATGCTGTCGTTGACTAAACATAAAAATGGGTTGATCATTTTGTCACCCAAGTTAGAACTGAGACAATAAGATTTCCACACCCAACACCCAAACATACTAGGACTGCCAAATGCAAGTCTTATCCATGGTGGTGGAGCTAGGAGTTTTGTGCAGTGGTTCACTCATTATTAATATCAGTTACATGACAACTGAAGTGTGGTCGTGGTTCTAAGTTCATCATGTCTCAGAATGAGACAACATCTTTAACACAATTTGCAACGAAAATTACCAAGAACATAGTTAGTCTCTGACCATTTCTTATTACATAAAGGACCAGAAAACAATTAAAAAAATGATAAACAGGTAAGACAGATCAGAAACCTTGAGTAACATCATGTTACTTTTAGTGTAGTTACTATTAATTCTTTCAGAATTGGAGGGTTAAGAAAACTTGAAACTAGTTTATAAAACCTTGAAAACTGACCAAAATATTGATGTAAAAAAAATTAGGTTGTAAAAAGTTCATAGAAGTGGCGTCAAACTCCTGCTTATCCAGGGATGGAACCATTCTTATCCTCGTGTTAGACATTTAGGCCCCGTTCGGTAGGGATTAAAATCCAATTAAAATTGAAAATATGACCGTTATTGGATCCCACTCGTCTAATAAAAGTCAACAATAACGGCTATTTTTTCAATTTTAATCTAATTTTAATCCCTACCGAACGGGCCCTTAGTTTGCCCAGCATTCAGAGACCTATTCCTGTCCTGGGTAATTAAGGTAATAAAAAAAGTTCTTCTTTTTATGAGAAAAATCAGTGAGGTTTTTTGCGTCACTAGAGCAAGGAAACACAACATGGGGTTTCCACTAAAGATCAGTATAGAAAAGTTATTTTATTATCTTTTCAGTTATCCATCTTTCTACCCCGATTCTGTTATTCTTCCTTGGTGTTGGTACGGTATCATTAATTATGTAGCTTTATTAGCTATATATTCCCGTTTCATTTTTGAGAAGTGAGAACAAATTATATTTAGATTTATCCCATATTCTCTGTCTTGTAATTCTGTCAAATCTGTCCCTTTATCATGTAGTTATTCTCAGTAATGTTATCTTCCCCTTAGGCTCAACGGAAGTCAAGATCTTTATTGTGCAATACATAGGAATCCAATATATAAAGGAAAGACCCTGCATGAATAGTAGGCGATTACACTGAGGACGAAGGTTTTTTTCCCCCTCAAAATGCACTGTATATTTCTCCAAAAAGCCTCTCAAACACTCGTTGCAGACAAAAACTCTTGCTCTTTCCTCCCCTCCCCTCCCAAATCCACAAAAAAAGGCCCACAGGAAAGCAAGGACCCACAGAGCAAATAAAAGTAAACATCTTTCTGAAATTAAAAATTGACAAATGCAAAGAAAATTAGAACGGTGAAAAGGAAGAAAGAAAATAAGCAGGCCAAGGATTAAACAAAAAAAAAAAAACTGAATATTTAATTATGTCTAAAACTAAAGACAGCCCTTTTCTAACCTGCCAAAGGATACATAGCATTGATTCCATCTGATTTCGAGCAACTGAATCGCCAATGAAAGCTAGTGTCTTTCCTCTCATTATCTCCAAGAACATCTTTGCGTCAAACCTAGGGAGGTCACACTGCAACGGTTTCCATCTCCAATTCTCATAATCTTTGTCAGGCCTCCCATTTCCCTGGCAATTCTGCATCTGAGTGAGCACAGGGCAAGAATTATTCGTGTATAATGGTCCAGTTGAGTCAAAAATCCATTTTCCATCGTAAAGGTCACATCCTGAAACACAATTAAATAAATCTTAGTTCAAAGAGAAAAGTAAACAAAAAAAGTTCCAGAATCAAATGATTTTACTGATAACTGAAAACATGGACCCAGAAGAAAAAGAAGTGACACTTAACTGTGGTGGGATAGCATAGGATTTGTAAGAATTTACACATTACAAATGAATATCTAATTGGTCAATGTTTACCCAGCAAAGATAGATCTAATTAAATTCAATCGAAGAAAGCTGAAACCAGTGCCAATTACATTTCTAAGTTTGAATCGGAAAAGTGATTCCCAAGGATTTTGCTCAAGCTAAAAGCAAAAATGGTGAAATCATGCTATGTCAGACTAGGAAAAGAAAACTAAGCTGAGGCGTAAAAAGTATCAATTCCAAATGAGCAAACAAAGTATTTCCATAGGTTTCATGACTATCCTAACTTCTATAAAAAAATTATCATAGCGCCTAATTCATCATCCATCCATACATATTCATAAGTCGAATCAAGAAATTGCACCTGTTTAAGGGAAAGTGGAGTTTATCAACCTACGTCCAAATAAGGAAATATAGAAAAAAAAAATTTCCTCCAAAAAATATTTATCAGCAGCTGACCAGAAAGTAACAAATAAATAAATTTTCAAAAGAAATCGAGCCATAACATCAGAAAGAAATACTGCTGATCAGTGGATAATTGTCTTAAATTACAAGATTAAAATGAGACCGCACCTGAATCAACAAGGTTCTCTTGACTCTTGATGGTAGCAGGAGTAGAAGATGTCACAGCCTTCTTCGGTTCTGCCCGACTATTATTGGATGAAAATGGTGCATTTTCATGACCCTTGTTGTTATCAGATAAAGATGAACTTTTATTGCCCTTCTCTTCTTGTGTTACAGTATGTGGTGGTTCGTCCTCCAAATTTTTATTTCCCTTTTCTTCTCGTGTTACATTAGAGCGTGGTTGTTTATCCTTCAAATTCGTCACTTCTACTTGTTTTAAATCTGACGAGTCGTCCTTATCTTGAGATCGAGGGAGCTGGGATTTTGCGACCGAAATTCCCTTGCCATCACCTTCACTATTAACTGCAGATCCATTATCCCCATGCTGAGAACTAACTTCAATCCCATGACCCTCCAAAACTGCTGGATTTGATTTCCTTCTTTCTTCAACCACATTGACGTTTTGATTGGAATCAGAAACTGAATTGTTAAGAATGGACACTGAATCAATCTTTCTCAAGTTATCGACGCCATAAAAATATCCCCCAACTGTGGACCCAATAGGCTGTGAGACCAAGATGGTCGAACCTAGAACTAAAAACAAGGCAAGGGCTCCCACTGAAGCCACAATGGACAGAAAGGTCTTTGGATATGCCATTGTAGGCAACTCTTTAGTTGAAAGTGAAGTCATGATTTCTTTTCAATTAAGTAACTTCTAAAGAATCAACATAAGATATGTGGGTTTCAAGAACTATACAAATCCATTCTAACAGACAGGTGTATTGACTGATTCAGGGCAGCAACGCTCAACGTGTGAGCCAACTTCTCGATAATGTCATTATAAAATTACATATATTTACAGATAATAAAGTGTGAGATTGAAATAATTATGTTGTCTCGTCCTCCAAAATTCCTCCATAAACATCCAAGACAATTAGGTATGCTGCACGAACAAGAAACGTAGAAGAAATAAGAAAAATAATTGCATCAATATGAAATTGAAACTAAAAGTTCATTGATGAATAATTAGATCAGTTAAAGAATGTCAAACAAGGCAACAGAGAAATATCGACATTTTGATTCAATAGATATTACCATTCAGAACCCAGTTTAGATTTCAAATTCTTTTCGATACCAGTAGAAATCCGTATAAAAATAATGAATCGCTGCTACAGAAAATTCTAAAATTCTTACCTTCATAAATAAATTAAATGCCACACCGTACGCCGAAAACTCGAACCCTAAAGACCCGGCCTGTAATTCTAAGTATTGAGAATAAAAACAGGATAATTCAAGTATTTAGTATTGGATCGCGAGAGAAGATTTCTTGACAATTACAGTTCACGAGAGCATAATAATTGAATTTGATAAACTAATTTCGACAGTAGAGTTCCAGCATATTAGTGGATTTGAATATTAGTTGTCGGCTGACTTTTATTAATGCCTTAATTCAACACGATTAATATGCTAAAGATCTATAATACTAATCCCAGGTTTTAGGGAGGGAATTTTATTGTTTGTGTTTCTTTTGAATTTACAACTAAGGGTACGTTCGAGCAACATTATTTTGAAAGAATGTATTTTGGAATAGTGGATTGATGGAGAATGTGTGGTTGAAAAAAAAAAGTTATTGATGTGATGAAAAATATTATTTTATTGAATAACGTATGGTTGAAAATGAGTAGATAAATGAAAATGAAAATTTTAATGTGTCTCAAATAGGAGTTAAAATTTGTATTAAAATTAATATTTGACGAAGTTTTGCTTACTGCATTTGTAAGTTAACGAACAATTAGTATACTGAAGTCTTGGTCCAAGTCGATTTATGTACTAAAATCATCAACATAAGTATCGTACTTCTCATTATTACCGTTAACTATCGAGGAGCCAAACAAGAATTAGTCGACAAGTAAAACTTTTATTTACAGCTTGTTTGTTCTGCATTTTTTACTAATTTGTATGAAAATTGTGACCGTTGCACAGTGAGTCTAGCCGACATTTTTGACCGTTTTGTGTGATGATGGGGCCCATTAGTTTGAATAAAACGGTCAGAAATTTTCTACTAGTTGGTTGAAAATGTAGAACAAACGGGGGCTTAATTCAATAAATCACGTGTATATTATAATTAAGAAGAAGCATGAATTCAAAATTTACCCAAAACGATATCTCTAAGTCTTGACTTAACTTGAATCACAGACTTCCCAACATTTGATTTCAAGAATTTGGAGTTCCCAACCTTCGAGTCTTATTCTCCAAAGTATTGACTACATCAATTGTGACCATCTTTTCAATTAAATTAAAAATTTAATTCTAGACCGAATTTCATTAAAAAAGAAAAAGATATCGGTAATCAAGCACATCTCACGGAATTAAGATAAATGAACATAATGTTTGACATGGGGGTTGACTGATCTCTCAAGTTGCATACGAGTCTCGACCTGAATTAAATAATGTCGACATCTTCCATGTGTGTGTTGTGTCATTCCCTATATCAAGCATTATGTTTGCCTAGCAAAACTCCATCTCACGACCTCCTCCTCCTCCTCTTTTTAATTTTTCCTTTTGAATCCCATCACTTTCAGGTGAGTTGTTTGTTGTGACTTGTGAGTTCCCATTAATCGTTTTAGCTTTGTGATGGGCTCGTACTGGGCTTGACACGGCCCACCACTTTCCTGTCCTCGTAGAATAAACATGTGGAAATTTCCCCAAGGGCCAACTTTCAGCCCTGATCATTTAGGCCCACGATTAAACATTTGCTGCCAATTATTATTTTGTAAAAATGAAAAGACGCGTGTTGCCACCCCCCCCCCCACCACCCAGCCAAGAATCTTTAGCTCTACGCTGCACAAGAGTGTCTTTGGATCGATCTGTCGTGTCGAGGTCGACCGTACTTTATGCACCTACTTGTTTATTTTGTTATAGATGCACTTGTTGAAGTTTAGTCCATTTTGAAAAAAAGTGTGTTTGTCTAAGCTTAAAAAGTAACGGTTATAAGTAAACTTAAGTACAAGTAAATTTTAAAATCAATATTTTAATTGGTCATATTTGAAAATAAGTAATTTATTTACAGTAAAAATGAAGTGTTATTTTCAAGGAAAAAAAAAGCAAACTGTACATGTTCTTAAAAAAGAAGTCTAAACAAAACTTACTACTATCTTCTATGTAGGATATCATTTTTTTTTTCTCTTTTCTTTTGTTTATCTTCATTTCCATTTGCTTCATATTTTCCTTTTTCTTTATTATTATCATATTTTTAGATTCTATCTCAAGAGAATGTATGGACACCTAGATCTATAAATTAGGGACCAAGTTGTTGAAAAGATTGAATCGGCACACCGTTATAACAAAACTTATTAGTTGAGACAAATAGTGTAATTTTCCTTTATCCCTAAAGTGAAATTCCCTTGACCGATGATCTTTGATCTCGTGTGTGTGCAAAGACATCTAAATCGTTCGTGCATTGGCGTGCATGGAGAATCGTGCATGTGTGTGTGTGACCGAATCATTCACTTGGTGTACACATGTAATGATAATGGCACTCGTGCACATAGATAATGAATTGGAGCAAGGGAAATTTAGTACATTATCATGTTTATTTATAGATGTTTCTAAGTGTTGTTTGTTTGGGACCATATCCTTAAAGGATTGTCTTGCAAAAGTGAAACACAAAACTAAAGGCCCGTTGATTACTAGTCATGCCCTAAGCCCACTTTTTAATTTAAATATATTTGCTAAAAAAGGTGAATTTTTCTTTCAATAAAGTCCATATTTGTTAGTTGTAATCTTATCTCTTCAAACACTTTGTAAGTGGGATCCTTGTAATGATCTTAAGGTCTCATCGATAGTGGAGGAAACAAGCAAAATGACTGTGGGAGAGAGCTTGTTGAGAGGGATAGGGCAATCGAGTGTGACTTCGACATGAAAACAGAGCCTTTCATTTATTCAAATGCTTCAAAGAATCAATACGTGAGTTATTCTTGTACGGTTTGTTTAGGTTACAATACTGATCGGTATTGTTAGGTATTTAATGTAATTGACAAATTTGTGAACAAAAGGGACAAAAGTTGACATGTTGTAAAAATCAAGGAGAAGCGTGCAATTAGTGAAAGTTATGATATTTTAGGTAGGGTTCGAGAATGAGAAAGAGGGAAAAAGGACTCGAATTTTCGTTAGATTGTCCCCAAAGTTTGGTTCAAGTGTCAGAAACAGAAACTTCATCGCTTGACTGTCGCCTCGCCTTCGCTCGAACGACAGTGTCATCAGGAAAATTTTTATTTTGTTTTTTAAAGGCTTTTTGTCCGACACATTCATTCCCTAACCTATATATAAATTTCCAAACATTACAGAACGGTTTTACAATGTTGATTATTGAGAGAAACACATTTCATTGAGATCATCTTCATGTATTTTGCTTTCAACCTTCGTACGGTTATTGACTTTTGGTGAGAAAAACATCAGATTCATGATTCAAATACAAAACTGCTGCTTTCTTCATATTTGTCAGAGTTTCAGAATATCAAGGGAATGTGACTGGAGTTCTAGTTGTTGAAGAACGCGGTATTTTTCGTGAATCCACAGGAGATAGACGATTTCACAAAATAGGGAGTTGTTACAGAAGAGCGCAATCAAAGAGAGTTTTGGAAATTACAGCTGGAAGTTGGTGCAGGAGTACAGAATTCAGAAGAGTTGTTGGAATTGCAGTCAGGAAATCAGATAGTACGTGTCGTCGTCTAGTTTGGTAGACTGTAAGTTATAAATCATTTATAGTGGATTGTTGACTGGCAAAGTGCCCAGAGTTTTTACCTAGTTGAGATTTCTTCGTGATCATACCGTGCGTTGTTTATTGCTTTGTTTACTGTTTTTATATTCTGTGGTATTCAAATATATGTTAATTGAACTAATTGTATAATCATCTAGAGATAATCAATTAGTGACTTGTTGCTAATTTATTAATTCTACATAATCACCTATTCATCCCCCTCTAAGTATTGTTAGGGTCGAATTACGTATTTTCAAATATTATAAACAATATCAAAATTGTTTCTCTTATTTAATATCGTTCAGTACCATCTAATTCACTTTACCAAATATTTCATTAGTTCGTAAATTCTTGATTATTAAATTATCTGGTAGTGTGTGATAAAGATTGAAACATATCTACCAAACATGACCCTAGTGCACTTAAGATATATTTTATAAGATAATGTATTAAGGAGATATATCTTAGAAATCCTTTGACTTGTGGTAGAGTAGTTCTTACTTTTGTGTTGTTCATTTAATCACTGTTTGATTTAGATAAAAATCAAATTTTTAGTATATTTTGATAAAAATTAATAGAATACGTAGTTGAAATGTGTGGTTAAAATTAGATTTTAACTTTTACTTTTTAAACTCAACCAAACAAGGGCTTAATCTTGCCAATGGTGGAGTCAAATCTTACCAAATTAAAGTAAAATGTTTGTTTCATATTATCTTTTTCCATATGTTTTATACCTTAAAAGGACAAAATCCCCATGGTCATTGTCCTTAGTGAATACAATTCACATACTGATGAACTGTCTTTCATTCGTTTCATAACGTGGGCTGCTTTAGAAAAATTAGGTATGCCCCATTATGTGTACAGTAATATCAAAAGTTAAGTTTCATTCTTGATAAATTTAAAATCGATTGTCTAATTCTATTAGTTTTTGC